AAAAAATTAAAAATTTAAAAATTATCAACATAAAAGGGCGGATCAAGAAGAGTCGGAATTTCGGGGTTTGGATTGTCTGCAGTTGCATAGCCCAACGATTCAAGAATAGATAAAAATTTAGGTCCGATTGAACCTCCGACATAGTTTCCACCATTTTTAATTACGTCCTTTAACGTTTTACCTTGAGGTTCTTGATAACTCATTAGAAATTCGATGCTTTTCAAATACAATGCTTGACTCACATGACTAACACTTGATCCCGGCTGATAAGGGTTTAAACTAGTTTCCAAATAAAACAATTGATCATTGGCAGTGTTGTTTACTATAATATCTTGAAAATCCAACCCTTTTTTTAACAAAACCAAATGATAAGGGTGTTGTGGCATACTTTAACATATCAGTTGCAATTTTATATTGAGCGGAGTTTTGAAACTTTGCATAAAAATCATCTTCCGAATCAAATTTCGTGCCTTTTGGTGCAAATTTGTTTAACTCGTTTGTGAAATTGGTTAATGGCATACCGCTTGGTAACAATGTTACAAGTTTGTCGAATATACTTTCATAAAATCCATTAAATATTATTGATGAATTTTGTGATGTTGGAGTTTGAGGTGTGGCGGTGGCGGTAGTAATAGCAGTAGTAGTGGTAGAATTATCAATGCTAATGTGTGGTACCAATTCTGTTGTATTTACTGTAACAAAATAAGGAGATGGGTCCCAAATTGATACAAATCCCAAGCCATGTATGAATTCGTGCAATGTCATATATAAGAATCCATATTGAGTTGGCTTAATTGGTGTTGCATCGTCTTCAAACCAAAAATCAACATCAGAGTTAAATTCTGCTATTATGTCAGCAGGTGAAAATTCCGGATTTGTTTTAAGTTGGAATTGTTTTACCAATGCTTGTGGATATAATCTAACTATTCCATCCTCGCTTTTCATCCCAATCCATCTAGATGGCCCTGCTTGACCTAATAAATCAACAATAAATGAAAATTTAGAAAATTATTCAAGAAAACGAAACAAAATAAAAAAATGTTATTTTATTAATATTATTATTACCTATTGTTGCGACTAATGGTTTAAGATAGATTTTTACTACAACAGGTTCTTTGATATTTATGGCTTTGGTAATAGTTTGTCCTGTAATATTCAAGTTCTTTTAACTTTTTCACAAAAACCTATTTTTGTACTTTGACAATCAAGATCAATTACAAACATATTGTCACTATTGACAGTTGATTGGTATTTTGTGATTTATCTTATTCTTCAATTAATGAACGATAAACTGATTTTGATTTGGATCGTCTTTTATGATCGAAACAACTAAATGTAGAAGATGGTACTGCTGGCGGTACTGCCGGTGCCGATAAGGAAGAAACACTTGTAATATTAAAAATTGTTAATAATGATAGTAATAATAATGATGGTAATAATAACGGTGTTGGAGAATGACAATTCATTTTGTTTAAAGAATATATGTTTGTTTAAACGAATATTTGATTATGTGAGATGAATATTTTATAATTTGATCTTTTCGATGTGTGTATTTATATATTTTTACCAAAAAGGAAGTTTCTATAAATATCTCACTGTGTTAGCTAATTTTGATTATGGGGTCGATTTAATAGTAATTGTTGGACTGGAGGCGCGGCGTATTTTATCAAACTATAAATAACTGGTCATGCAAAGTACTTTATTACTATTTTTTGTTTTTCACCCTTGTGCTAGTCAATTCTCTACATAATCTTAAACATTATTCGCGTTTTGTGGGATATTCAGTTCATCGATGGGTTGTAACATTATGAAATCTTGATCTGAAATTAAATCGTCAATCATATCTAAACGATTATTCGCCACCAAATACAGTCAAACCTTGATAATCTGAACCATATAAGGTGATTTTCGCTTTATAACGATATAAAATTAGTTGGTCAAATCATAATTAATAAGGTTATCTTATTTAATTAGAAGGAAACATTTTTTTAAAAAAAAAGATAAAATTCGTTAATTGCTTTGATTGGTTACATTTGTAATATACGAAGATCAAATCTGTTAAAACAATAACAGTATTAGTAGTAAACGACGACAACGAATCATCGTTTTTTGAGGACGATGATAAAGATTAAGACCAGTTTGTTTTATCAATTATTCAATCGTTTTTCTAGGAATGATCGAAGTAAGCATTAAGGACAAGATCTATGAACAAAATATACTAACGAACGTTTTATCAATTATTTAATAATTTGTACAAGCGTTAAGGACAAGATCTATGAAGCTTGCAAAATATTCTAACGAACGTTTTATCAATCATTCAATAGATATATTTGTTATTTATTTATGTATATAAATTTCTCTTTAAAATGTATATAATGATTTTATTCATACCTCAAAACCACTACAATAGGGCTTTCACTATTAGTATAAAGTGATAAAGTTTTCCATAATATCAGAGCTGAACAAACTATCATTAAAAAATTTAAAATTTGTTGTGCAAACTTCTATGAACAAAATATACTAACGAACGTTTTATCAATTATTTAATAATTTGTACAAGCGTTAAGGACAAGATCTATGAAGCTTGCAAAATATTCTAACGAACGTTTTATCAATCATTCAATAGATATATTTGTTATTTATTTATGTATATAAATTTCTCTTTTAAATTTAATTATTATTGGTACTTATTTATTATTCTAATCATTATTTATGTATAGTAAAGAAAAAATTTTAATATCTATTTATTTATTATATTTACTTTTTAAAATAAATGATTTTACTATATAAAAAAGACATGCCTAAGCGATCAAAAATCTGTAAATATTCATAATAATGTAATATTTGGACATTTACTTCTACTTATACTTGCAATTGGACGCGCCAAACAAAATTTTACGTATATGAATATAAATGCAAAATTTGACTTTAAGGGTCAGATTATTTTCGGTTTTATTAACAACCTGCTTTAAGATTTTTCTTAAAGCAGATACATATGATAAAAAAGTTATATCTCAAATTTGGTGGTGGCTACTACACAGCAAGGGTATCAAACGAGGGTATGATTATAAAATTTCACTATGATGCAGATCATCCAAATTTTACACATTAATTGTTTATTAGAATTTCGGCAGAGTTTCGACAGTCACTAAGAGGTTTTGGCAAGCAACCTTACATAACACAGGTCCAAATCCAGTGATCTAGGATTTTTAATTATCCAAAAATTGGTGTAATCTATAAAAGATATGTTTATTGGATTGTTAATTATGCATTGAACTATTCTGGCCATTTAACATGGATAGATTGATCATATTGATAAAGTATCATTATATTAGATGTTATGCAATCCCAATTGTTGACAATTTTTATTCTTTTCAGGCTATATATATATAATAACTTTTTTCATCATAATTTAATCTGAGGCAAATACTGATAACAAAGATAAAAATCAACCCCACCAGTATCACATTCAAATTATCACAGGAACTACATTTATAGCTATAATATACAATCATCATATTATTTAATAGAAAATCTCTGATATTGGTAGTGTGTATGGGCAGAAATAATAATAGTAACTGATATAAATAAAACATCAATTTCAATTCTGATATTGATGCTGTTTTTTTTTAATTTCTTATAGAAACAACCAGCAAAAAGTTGGGAAATTGAAATTCCATACAAAAAATTTTAAGCTTTATAATATAAACAAACTTAATCATACTTACTTGGGAGTGTTGGGTTGCAAAAGGATTAATAATATAATATATATATTATAAATAATAATAATAAAGAAGTTTAATGGTGGTGTCAACTGACCAAGATGAATGTTGTTCCGTCATTCCGTCATTATATTATTAGTTTGGAGCCGTTGATCAATTTATTCACGATACGAACTTTATCTGCAAGTCATTCGGTTGCCTGATGAGCTAATACTAAGGAACTTTGTTTTGGAATATTCGACATTAGTGGTCATATTCAATATTTTGGGACTACGTGTAACAAACAAGACACGTTTAATTGTTATTGGCTGAAAATTAAAATCGAGAAATTAGAAAAACTAAATTAATAATAATTTATATAAAAATAATACTGGTAATTAAAAATGTTTGAAGAGCAGATAAGGTTTCTTCGTGAAATGAGCAAACGGACGGTAAAACGTTTTTACAAATTATTATGATATGAAATGGAAGAATTCTTTTTTAAATTTTGATTATTATTATTTGATTATTTTTATTTTAGTTTGCACAACAAATTTTAAATTTTTTAATGATAGTTTGTTCAGCTCTGATATTATGGAAAACTTTATCACTTTATACTAATAGTGAAAGCCCTATTGTAGTGGTTTTGAGGTATGAATAAAATCATTATATACATTTTAAAGTCATATCGTATTTATATATGTGTATGATTTAGTGGTAGTATGGAACCAGCATTTTACAGGGGAGATATATTATTTTTAAGTATGCCAAATGAACCAGTGAAAGTTGGTGATATTGTGGTATTTAAGATTCCAGGGAGGGAAGTGCCAATTGTTCATAGAGTAATAAAATTACATGATGAGTGAGTTGATGTTTTTCAATTTGCAAAAAAAAAAATTCATGATTTTTGCAAATATTTAACTATATATATATATTATTAATTTTTAATTAGAGTTCAATCAGGTAAACAATATATTTTAACTAAAGGGGATAATAATCAAGTGGATGATAGAGGTTTATATAACAAAAATCAGGTCTGGATTCATAAAGAACATTTAGTTGGAAAAGTTAATGGGTAAACATCAATATAATAATTGTAATCAATATGTCAATATTACTACTAGTAATAAATAATTCTAATTCTAACATTAACTTTATTATTATAATAATTTATTAGATTTCTACCTTACGTTGGAATAATTACTATAGCAATGAATGATTATCCTCAACTTAAATATTTTTTAATTATTGCTCTTGCTATATATGTGTTAATAAATAGAGAATGAATAATCCTTATCACTATGGCTACCACCTTAATTACTACTGTTATTATTGTTATTATCGTCATTTCCATCATCATCGTTATTATAACAATCACCCTGGATATAAAAAACCTCCATAAGAAAGCCATAGTAAGAAGAAAAACATAGTCCCGGGGACTTTATATCAAGAGTATCTGTGTATTTTATTTTTTACACAAGCATATCCACTTCACACATCATCATCAATACTAAGATATTATTTATTTTCTGTTTCATAAAGTTACCATAATACATTTTCAAAATATAAGGTTTTGTAGATAGGTAGCCTTAAAATTACTACAAATGGATTTTACCCAAAATAGTTGCAAAGCCCCCAACATAAATTTGATAATAGGAGATTTAGATTTTTTACGCGTTACGTTAAGTTTTGTTAGAAAAGGTAATTTAACATATTTAGAGACCAAATAAAATAATGAAAAAGTCAATAATTACAAAAGGGAATTTGTTTTTTTACAAATAATAAAATTACTTTTTGGTGAGTTTAATATAATCGTTTATCTACAAAGATTATAATTATTTTTCTGATAGGTAAATAATGGAATCGTGTTTGCCAAGGAGAAAAGGCATATTCTGTTTTCAATTGCATTATAAAAATGTTCGAGAATTTGAAATATAAAGACTGGAGATTAGAGTAATATATTGGAGAAATTGTAATAAATTTGACTCACAAAATTTTTTTCATTTCATTCAACATCCAACTTTGGCAACCTAAATTGTTAAACGACCCATCGAAGAAAGAATACATAGTTCGATAGAATGGAGTGAAGAGTACGGAAATGAATATAGCAGATTTAAATGTAAAAAATTTTCTTTTTGAATACTTTTTGTGTGACAATACAAGTTGACATCATTCCCACATGTGTGACACAAAAAAACCAAGGCAAAAAATCACGTCGCGTTCAAAATGATGTATAATGTTCAAGTTTGAACATCTTCCTTCCCAAGTTAATTCTGATCCATAAAACAAGTTTTGCATAGTATGCAAGTTGTGTTTACTTGGTTTTTTAAAGGCGAAGTGTTCTTTATTAATAAAATTATCACATATATATATATATGCAATGATTTTAATTATCAAAAAAAACCCCCCATTCACAGTTTTGAAATGATAATACGGGAGCATACTACTCTTTATACAATAGACCATATAATCATTAGATATTTTAAAAGGGGGAAGGCTTCAACCCACAGAAGATATTCTTAAATTTTATGCTGAATTGACAAAAAGATCTTGGGACCCTAATTCAGAAAAATAGGCCAACATATCATTTAAATAAACGTTCAATTTTGATATAAATGCATTAATTTAAAAATAGATGTTATTTATTCGTCATGATTATATAATATATATATGTGTGTATATATATATTACATCTTTGAAAATAATAATTATAAGAATTATTGTAATTATATATTTAATATCTATTATTTTATATACATGATTAAAAATATGTTTTACTTTCTCTCTATCTTATATAATAAAATATTTCAATCCTGTTCTAAAAAATCACCAATAATTGGTTCCTCGACCCAATTTTCCCCCCAAAATCTTAAATTCCAAAAATCGGAATATTTACGATCTTTTTTATAACGGTAATCAACTCTCTCAATCACAGATCTTACTTTGGACAGACCTTCTCCCGTTATCTGAGAAGGAGATGCATAACTGATATCCAGATATTTCAACGATTCACCTAAACAAGCTGCTATAACAAATAAATGTGAATCGTTTAAGCAATAAGAATCTGGAATTTTAAATGTCTTTAATTTTGCTCTGCATCCCTTTAAACCTAATAGTAAATCATATGATGAAAAACACCAATCGGCGTGAATTATGAGATGTTCTAATGACTCCGGTAGATTTTCAAAAAATAAGGAATTGGATCTACATGTGTCTAGAATTTCACCATATATTTCTAAAATATTCAAATTTACTGTTAATTTTAATAAATCAATTAATTGATTCATATCATTGTTATTGTTTATGTTAATGGAAAAATCTAATAAATTAGTATTGTTTGATATAACATCAAATATATTAATTGGATCTGTTGGATCGTTGATTTCAATTGGTCCTATATGAAGCGTTGATAATGATTTTGAATTTTCTATAAATTCAGCCAACACATTATCCTTCATGATTGTGTTTTTGAAACTTAATTTTTTTAGATTTTTTAATTCATTTCTACTAGAAAATACTTCCATCAAGTTTTTGATTCCTTTACAACTTTCGAAAGTTAAAGTTTCTAAATTTTTTAATCCAGTTAAAGGTGTGAAATCAATTATGTCATTGTTGTTGCCATTGCTAATGTTGAAGCTGAACAAGATAAATTCTAAATGTCTTAAAGAATGAATTTGTTGATCCAATAAACACATCAGCGAACCAACTAATCTATTTGGTTGATTACAACTATGTAATGCTAAATGTTCTAGATTTTTCTGAACTTTTATTAGTTCAATTAAATTATCAATTTGTCTTTGAGGTACATTATGTTCGTGCAAAGCACCCACACGACCCGGACTAATGTATAGTGTTTTAATATTTCTAGATGTTTTCGATGCGCTCAAAAATATTTCATATTTTAAAAAATCTCCGATACAAGTGAATTGTTTTAATTTTGCCAGGCACTCATCTGACCCTGGTAAACCAAACACATTCAAATGATTATTCTTTACCATAAACATGTCACCTGTTTCAATCGACAGCTTAACCAAAGAATTTGATTTCAGCATAAACATTTCCAATAAAACCCTTGATAGAATCGCCACCCTTTCCCTATAAACTTCGCACCATTTATCATATAGATTAAACCATTTTGATACTGAAATGTATAAATCAAGGTATGATAAATTTTTTAGAAATATTGGATAATCAAACATTGGTAGAAAAACGGTAGCTCCGAAATAATCATAATCGTCATTGTATTCTTCTTCGTTTATTAATAATGTTCCTGTTTCTTGTTTAATTTTCTGTATTTGTTCAGCCGAAAGAAATCTCATGTAGATTTCTATTAGTTTTGAGGAAGGTGAAGACCTGGTTATACGAAAAGGTTGACTCCATAATACTTCTACAGTTAGTTCACACCATAATTTATTAACTAGTAAGCATGAATATAAAGTATCTTTGTCTTCTTCTAGTTCTTTTAATACAATTCTTAAACAATCTCCCGTTAACTTTTCTTTAGACATTGTTTGAAATTAAATGAAATGCATTGAAAAATTTTTATATTGGTATATTAATATAGTTTGTTGATTACACCACATTTGTTTCATGTGAATGAACGTGACATTGCTTTTGTTACATAATACGGCGATCAATATGAGGACCTTGCCGGTTAAGAAATGAATTGATTCTTCAAAAGTTATAATTTATTTTATTATTATTTAAAGAAAAAAATTTTTGAACCATCTAATATACATTTTTAATATTAATATAAAAAATTAATCCAGTTAATCCTAAAACCTATCCTTTTTTAAATTACAAAATCTTGGTGTAAATTTACCCTGTTTACACAAAGAAAAATGGCCAGTTTAATGTGCATTAAACTGTTGTTGTAAATTTTTATATTCATCTTTATATTTTTTAATTTCATTTTTTCTTCCTTTATACAAATTTTTAATTGTTTTAAATAAAAGTTTTTCGTTTTTTATTTCCATTTTTGATGATAAGATTTCCATTGAATCATCAAAATTTGATTTTAATAATTTGGCTGCAAATAATATGGCAAAAAAAAAAAGAAAGAATGAGAAGATATAAATGTAAGTTAATAGAAAAATCCAATTGATTATAATAATAATAAATTAATTACACTTACGTTGATTATATATTACTAAAGCAATAGCAATATAATATAATATATCAAATCCATTCATCATAATTAAATCCCAAAATCGCAAAAGGATGCTATGAGCAACAACATTTGTTGAAAACAATGTTAAATACCATTTAGTTGAATATGATGCACTAGTTATATTCAATTTTTCCTAATTTTTTAATATATAGATATCCAAGGAGAGAGTAAATAAGGAGAATAAGTAATCAGAATAGAAATAAACTATATAATATGATATTATGAAAAAATATATTATATTCATACAAAATGATCTGTTAATTTTGGTGCATATAATTTCATTAATTTTTCTTGGATATATAAACCTTCCATCAAGGAAGGGGAACCAGGCACATAAAGATTATGTAAATCACACTTTGAAAATAATTTTGTCAACATTATAAAGGCATCCTACAAAATAACAACAAAACAATATTTGTAAATGAAAAAAAAAAAATTTTTAGCCAACTTGTCAAACAAACGATTGATTAATTAATTACCTCCTCAGGGTAATACATTAATAAAATTGCTACAACATTAGCCATTCCTTGAGAAAAACCAACTTCTTCATTATAGTTTGAGAAAGCTCTCAATACATTAAACATTGATCTTTGCCTAATTTTTATTTATTGCAGAAAAAAAATGATTAAATAAAATTAAATATTTATGATTATAATATTAGATGAGACATGTGAAATAATCATCATAATTAATTACCCAGGCCCATATCTTGATTTAAACATTATGTGTGATTGTAATGTTACAGATACATTTAAGTCTATGTTATTTTCATGAATTGATGGTAAATTTAATAATGACTTTTTTTTAAAGAAAGAGAGAGATAATTAATCAATTGATTAATCAGAAAAAAGAAATATCATTCAAATAACAATTAATTAATAACTTACTTTGTAGGTATATATCAAAGAAGATTCATCATATTCTGCTTCATCTTTTTCAGTTGTCAACATAAAATTCCTAAAATAACAATATGAACCAACATTTAAATATAATATATACACACATGTAATAAATATTTTTTGTGAAATCAATTATTATTAACTTACCAAACTTTATTTCTCCAAGGATTAGGTATACCTTTATAAACTCTTTTCACAAATTTTTTGTCCCATACAAATTGATAAAAGGTTTCACCATATCTTCCTAATTTAGAGACTCTTTTACGTTTTGAAAGCAAACTTGCCCATTTTTGTGATTCTTTGATTTCCTTTTTTTCTGCTCTATTTCACAAATAATGATAATGAAAATAATAATTCAAAATTGAGAATTAATAGAATAATATCACTCACTATATAGAAACCAATTTTGGTCTTTACCTTCTATCTACATCAAGTGATTTTGAGTTTATTGTCTCGTCTTTACTAAGTTCAAATCCATACTTATCAACAGACCCAGCATATTGATCAAATGATGCGTCATCTTTAAGCAGTTTATTATGACAGTATTTACGAGTCAATTTACCACCTTCAGAATTGGTGTGATCACGTGATATGTTTAGATTATTCGATGTGTATTGTTTAGTAGTTGCCTCGCAATTATCACCACCACCATTGTTAGATGTTTTAGGAGTGATCTTATTATTATCTTTTTTGATATTACGTGAATATGCGATGTTATCGGTAGTTATATTACGCGAACTACGATTATTATGTGAATAGGCAGTGTCGAGATATTTAATGCCGCCAGCGTTATTGTAATTCTTATTATAATCAGTATAATAGCTGTTATTGTAACCCTTATTATAACCATTATAATAACTGTTATTGTTATCCTTGTTATAGTAATTATAGTAATTTTTATTATTATTATTATTATTATTATTAACCTCACGCCTGTGAAACTACTAAAAAACATTTGGCTAGATTTTTCAATTTCGCATTTACTTTTAATTTTCTTTTATAGTTAATGGGTAATAATATATCAAGTACAACAACTTCTATAGCAACAGCTGGCATAGACAGTTATGTTAGCGAACTTGGTGACATTCAATATGAAAAAAGGTTAATATTTATTTGTTGATTTGTTAATATATCTTCAAATCAAATATCTAGAAATAACTTTTTCTCCACAGTTTGGGCAGTGCTCGTTTTATGAAAACTATTTGTGGTCGCCACAAAGAAGGTCCCGTTGTAGTCAAGATATTTATTAAACCTGAACCTAGCCTATCTTTGTCAAACGTTGTTAAAACACTTAAAGGTAGGATTTTCTTATAAATGGATGGATGGATGGATAGATGGATAGATAGATGATAGATATTTATGATTTTATCGATTTAATAATAGAGGAGAGAGAAGCATTATCTGAGATTCCAAATGCATTCCCTTATCAAAGAATAATTTAGACAGAAAAGGCTGGATATCTTATCAGACAACATTTTTTTAACAGTCTCTATGATCGTATTAGGTGCTGAATTTTTTCATTCTTCAATAAATCTATTAAGTTTTTTTGTAAAAAAAAACAAGCATTTAGAAATTATTTTTTTAGTACTCGGCCGTTTTTGAATTTAATTGAGAGTGCTTCAAAAACTCGTCGTTCGTTTGTTCGTGGAAGATTGTTTGTTGCATCATCCTTGTTTTCAACAATCTTTTAATATGGTATTAATATTAATGACCTTAATAAATATTAATAGAACTATCTAAGTTTCTTCCAACAAAAAACGGGAAAAAATATTTTCGATATGATGATCAGTATTGGCATTTGGCCGAATCGGCCAAGATAAGCAGCCAAAATAAACGGCCAAAATATTGATAAACTATGTTTTTTTAAAAAGTCATCATTCCCACGTTTGTTCTTCTCCATATTGAAGCATTAAAAATACCTCATAAATATATTAATTATGTACGACTTTTATCTGAACAAGTAGATAATGGCGAAGATATTGTAGATGCACATCTTGCAAAGAGAGGTCAGATTATAGTGTAGCTTTATTAGATAGTAAAAGCAAAAGAATTTGTACACATTGAAAAATGTTCAAATTTTAAAATCATACATCTTGAAGTTTAATGATGAATTTTTCGAGTCTGATAGAATTGTTAATAATTTAAATACTGGAAACTTTGAATAAAGTAATTCTAGAAAAAGAAAAATTATAGTATTACTATAATTTTTCTTTTTCTAGAATTACTTCAAGTCTCTAGCAGTGTTGAAATTACGCGAAATCTGCGGATGTAACATTATTATCCAATCAAATTTTGGATTTCTAGATGTAATTTCTAAATTTGTACTATAGTTATGAAATTTTATCATTATTTTTAAATATTTATAATAAATCAAAATAAACAAATTATTACTTACCTTTTGTTGTTATTTAATCCTTTCCTTGTACATAAATAATACTTTTGTATCCACCATTGTATATGTCTATTACAATGTTCATAATGATTATACAATACACTTGGCACTATTTTTCTTAAATTTGCAAAAGAGTTAATAAATAAACAAATCTGATAAATTGCATCACCAAAGTAATAATAAAAATACTAGCTAGGACCATGCAGAATGAAACTTTTAAGGGTCCAATTTTGGAAAGCCACACATAAAAAAATCTGGAAGGGTGGTAATTTTCATTTCCCTTAAAATGAATGACCCATAATAAGTTTGTACTGAAAGGTGGAAATAAACCCATGATTTTTTGCTATATTTTAATTCATGACTCCTTTCCATGTAGGAAAATGGTAGTGGCTAAACCTCTACTTTGTTCCCCTTTTTTTGTGTGCATAGGTGATGTTGTGTGCATTTATGCTTCCCAATTGTATACAAGTTGTAGGGTTCCTTGATTTTAATAAATATCTTATTATTATTATTATGTCAGATATAATAAGTTTCCTCCCTCAAAACATGTAATACATGTCCTTCATAACCATGGAATTTTTTCACAGATGAAAGAGTTTGCCAAGTTGGAAGTATACATGCAGCCCAAATTGGTTTGGTGATTTCAATGGTCAACATTATTCCAATTTTGATGGTATAAAGTAGAAATTAATTACAGCACTCACTATTAAAAACATAAGTGTAACACCCCTTTACAACACATGTAACCCCCTTTATGACAGTGCAAAATTAAGGCTCTGAACAGATCAGATCTTATTAAATTATAATCTGTTTTAAATCAGATCAGATCAGCTCAGATCAAAGCTAGACCAGATCAGATAAAAATTATTGATTCATAATTTCTTTCATAAATTTTATTATTATTATATATACATAATACTTCAGATCAGATCTCAGATTCCAGATCAGATCAGATTTCAGATCAACTTAAACGGATTTCAGCTCAGATTATACATGTGTTGTAAAGGGGTGTTACACTTATGTTTTTAATAGTGAGTGCTGTAATTAATTTCTACTTTATACCATCAAAATTGGAATAATGTTGACCATTGAAATCACCAAACCAATTTGGGCTGCATGTATACTTCCAACTTGGCAAACTCTTTCATCTGTGAAAAAATTCCATGGTTATGAAGGACATGTATTACATGTTTTGAGGGAGGAAACTTATTATATCTGACATAATAATAATAATAAGATATTTATTAAAATCAAGGAACCCTACAACTTGTATACAATTGGGAAGCATAAATGCACACAACATCACCTATGCACACAAAAAAAGGGGAACAAAGTAGAGGTTTAGCCACTACCATTTTCCTACATGGAAAGGAGTCATGAATTAAAATATAGCAAAAAATCATGGGTTTATTTCCACCTTTCAGTACAAACTTATTATGGGTCATTCATTTTAAGGGAAATGAAAATTACCACCCTTCCAGATTTTTTTATGTGTGGCTTTCCAAAATTGGACCCTTAAAAGTTTCATTCTGCATGGTCCTAGCTAGTATTTTTATTATTACTTTGGTGATGCAATTTATCAGATTTGTTTATTTATTAACTCTTTTGCAAATTTAAGAAAAATAGTGCCAAGTGTATTGTATAATCATTATGAACATTGTAATAGACATATACAATGGTGGATACAAAAGTATTATTTATGTACAAGGAAAGGATTAAATAACAACAAAAGGTAAGTAATAATTTGTTTATTTTGATTTATTATAAATATTTAAAAATAATGATAAAATTTCATAACTATAGTACAAATTTAGAAATTACATCTAGAAATCCAAAATTTGATTGGATAATAATGTTACACCGATAACACTGGGTACGATGTCACATTATATTGGTAGTACAATTATGATAATTTACTAAATTTTGATCCCTGAAATTTGTGATAAAATTGTTCACCATCCAGTTTTGTTACAGTATGCCCCATATTAATATTAATATCATATCTCTTTAAAAAAAAGTTTTAAAAGGAAACAAAAAATACTAAATAAAAAATTTTTTATAAAAAAAATTTTGATAAATAAATCTGTTTTCTTTTTTAAATTTTTTTTTACTAGTGAATTATTGTTAGCTAACTAAGTATTTAACCAACAAAAAACCCAACAAACAAACAAACAAATATAGAGCCTCAACTTACACACACAAATAAAAAATTTTTACCCTCTATCGGATACAAACATATATATATATATATAATACATACATATATATATAACTTATAATACAACACGCACATTTTTATATATATAAATAAATACAAATTATAATCATGGGTTCATACGAGCACGACACACAACGAACTAATAATAATAATAATCATCCGTCAACAACAGGTGTTAGTAAGAAAAATAAAAAAACAGTAAGTGTAGCAGATATAGCAGATACTGAAGAAGTAAAAAAGTTGAGATCTCTCTATAAAGACAAATTAGCGACATTACAAGAAATGTTTGAAGATTGGACAGAAGCAGATTTGCTGTTCACTTTAAACGAAGCTGAAGGTGACATCGAACTCACAGTTAGTCGAATCAGTGATGGTTTGTTTTTTTTTCTTTTAAATTTTTAATTACCATCACTATCATCTACATATTAAATTTAAGATTTTCAAATTTATAATTTTATTAAATATTAAATTAATGAGATTATAACTATAAAAAATTTTTTTAAAGAAGGCTTTAAAATAAATAAATAAATGATTAATTAATTTTATCTCTTTTTAAAATATAAATAAAAGGTCATACAAGTCAATGGGGTGAAGTTAAATCTCGTAAATCTAAAAAAGATCATAGCAATAAAACCAAATCTACCGGACAACCTGGTGTTTCTCAACGTGGTAGTGCTGGTAGTGGTGTTGTTACTAATGTTACCGGTAATAGTGGTAATGTTGGTCATAATAATGAACCACAACAACATCATCAGCAGCAACAACGTAATATTGTTGGAGGTAATGGAAGATCTCGTGGTCGTGGTGGAAGAAGAGATGATCGAACTAATAGTAGTAGTCGAGCTATAAAAAAAGAAAATGGTTCAGGTATGTTTTAGTGTCAAACAAAATTAAAGTCAAAATTAATAATTAAATAATCAATTAAATAATAATGATTAAATAATAACAATAAAAGGACATGGTCGAACTTCACGTCAACATCCAAATGGACCCAGTTCTTCTTTTCATCACAACGAAACAAGTAACGGTAACCAATTCAAATCATCTACCACCAACGATTCTAATTCTTGGGGCAACAATGATTCGTCTGGTGGAGGAAATAATTGGTCTTCAGATGCTAACAATGACGAATTCCTTACTAATAATGATTGGAATTCTAATGAGACAAAAAGTTGGGGCGATACCGAACCAACCTTCATTACTAAATCTACAAAAAACGAAGTAGTACCTTCATCATCACAGAATACTGCTACTAATTGGTCATCAACAATAGAATCAAAAACTGAAGGTAGTTGGGGAGATGAAGATATCAACATATCTACTACAACAACTGCTACTTCCTCTAATGATTTCTCCAAGGATGACTCTAATCTTAATAAAGATGGTTGGGCATCATCATCTTCAGATACTCATCATAACTCCAATGAGTTACGGGTATCTGATAATTGCAACAATAATAAAAATTCTAGGGATTTTTCAAAATCATACAAAAATTCTACTACATCGAAACCTTACTCATATTCATCATCTACACCTACTCCTAGTTCTTCTAATAAATCACCAGTACCGCCTAAATCACGGACAATACCTCCTCAGTCCAAAACTTCTTGGGCTCAAATTGTGAAGTGTGTTTTCAATCATATTTTCATTAAAAAAATTTTTTTTATAATCAAAAATTTTTTTTAAATAAATCATATAGTAACAAATCAAATAATTTTTTTTTTCATTATTCTCATTATTCTCATTATTGTGCAAATTTCTTTGTTATACCCCAAATATATTTATTTATTTTCATAATTGGGAATCAAAAAAAAACTCCCAAACAATTATATATGATGATTTTATGTGTATATAGGCCTGATCAAAAACCGGAACATAAACCCGAAACAACATCTACTACCCCTATACAGCAACATCATAACAACACTAATACCAAGGGCTCACTTGAAGCAACAAAACCTTCATCACCGAATATATCGAAAACAACTCCACCAATACCGACACAGTCTCCATCAAAAGTTGTTGAACAAGTCATTATAAATGATAACAACAACATAAGTATTAATAATGATTTCCAACAAGAAACCATTTCAACGACTTCTACTCCAGAAATTGCGATCTCTGAAATTGAAGAAACTAAAAAAAAATCACCTCCAGCATCATCACCATTGTTAAATAAGGAAGTTTTGACCCCACCATCAAATGCTACTGGAATATCAAACATCTTATCAACTTCTGCTACAAATACACCATCATCGCAGCCATCATCACCTACGCCTACATCTAATTCACTACAACAACAAACAACACCTTCACCTTCCTTATCTGCTGCAAATGCTACTACTATTAATAATAATATTGTTTCTAATACCACAACCACTTCCATTCCTTCATCTGAACAAGAAAACATCGCCAATTCCACTAATACACCCATAATATCATCATCCTCATCATCCTCATCATCACCAATAGTGACTTCTGTTTCACCACGTGCAAAAGAAATCATACCACACAGTCTAAAATCAAAAACAACTACTACTGCACGTCGACTCAAACAAGATGCCCCTGTTGTAATGCCTACTAATGGAACTGGTGTAGAAAGAGTCGGTGTTCAATTTGGTAGTTTAAGTTTATCAGAAACTTCTGAGGAACAGGTAGAAATGGTCGAAAATGATCTTTCATCTCTTGCCCATCAAGATGAACTTTCTAATTCTTCTACAGTTGTTGAAACTCAACAATCACAATCTCCACCACCACAACAGCAATCCCAACAACCGCTTAACCACCATCAAATTACTTTACCAGCTCAACAACAAGTTACACAACAACAGCAGTTGCAACAGCAACAACAGTTACATCAGCAACAGCAACAGCAACAACAACAGCAACAGCAATTACATCAGCAACAACAAACACATCAACAACAATTACAAGCGGTTCAAATACAATTACAACAACAAACCTCCAATCAACAGCAGCAACAAACTACACAAGTACAAACACAATCTTCTAATTCATTATCTCAGCCAACTTCTATTAATCGCCTACCTACATCCAGCTCATCTACCTCATCCACACAACAACAACAACCATCATCTATCAACAGCAGTGCACCATCAAGTGTGCCAACAAATGCTTCATACTTGAAACAACAACAAGAACAATCTGCCGCTACTGCATATTTAAATCAACATCATTTGGGAGGAATAGAGCCAATAAGTGCTCCCTATACTTCTTACATAAATCAACCACCAAATCAATTGTCACAATTTGGTATTGGACCTATTCAACCTGATTATGCTACATTATATCCTGCTGAAGCTCAGCGAGGAGTAATGGTAAATTTACTGATCAATTAATTAATATATATATTTATATGTATGGTAATTGATAAATTAATAAATAAACCTTTAACTTTAATGCTAACAACAATATTATTAATAGGGATATTATGCAGACCCTTCATATCCACAAGCCTTGCTCGTTACATCTTCAGTAGGTGGATTTCAAGGAAGAGACAAGTATTCACAAGAAACACCTAGCAATTCATCATCCACACAATCTGTCAGTCAACAAACAACAGGAACACAACAATCCACTAATCAACAAAATCAAAATCCACAACAACAACAAACATATCCTGTTAGTGTACCATATTTTCATCTGTACTACTATATGACAAACCAATTTCCTTCTGCCTATCAGCAATCTGGTTATGACCAACTGTTAGTAAATGTAAATAAATCAATGTGGATTGGCATCAGGTGCATCACCTTATGGTTACCCCACGACCCCTACTACTCCCAGCACACCTCATTACTCAAACACCAGATATGATGAAATGTCTCCTCTGATACATCATCTTCCTGGTGCAGTGCCTAATGTTCACAATTATCAGAAAACTTATGGAGGAGGCAGTGGTATGCCACCAATTAATTTCTTGGGTAATGCAGGAGGTGTTAATAGCAATCCACAACCTTCCTCTGCATCAGGTGGATCAAATACCACTACATCATCAAAGACTGGTAACAATAATTCAGACTTGAATCCTCAAGGCCAATACAAATCTTATCAGGATAAAACTTCTGCATCAGGCCAACAACAGTCTTCGGGGGTTGGTCAATCTGGTGCAATACAGCATCAACAACAATCTAGCACTCCCAATTATTATAGTCAACAACAAGCTCAACAAGTGTTTAATAGTTATCAATATCTACAAAACCATCAATACCACCCTCATCAAGCACATCATCAAGGTGCCAGAAATCGTAGTCAATACTGGAATCAAAATTAAGAAAACTATTTTGTTTGATGATGATTTATTTATTTATTTATTTTTATCCTTTTTGTTGCTAGGTTTTATATTATCAAAAAATTGATTTTGTGCATTAAAATATGATGTTTTTTCTTTGCTGTAAGATCTTCTTGATGTTTTGGGTAATTAATCATTGTGGTGGATATGGATTAAAATATTAATAGTAATTAGGATGTGGAAGAATTATGATGTAGTATAGTGGTAGTAGTAATTATGGCAAACAGGTACATTTATTAATTATTTGTCAAAACCTATTATTGCATTAATTATTATGTGAATATTTTATTTTATAAAGATTTTTGATAATTATTTTATATTATTTTATATTAATCATTTGTTTTTTTTTTAAAAAAAAAGGACATAAAAATACATATCATAATTTTTTTTTTCATAATAATAATAATATTTTTTATATATATTTTTTATTTTATTTTACTTTTAATAAACAATTCTAAGAACTATTTCCTTTTTTTTCTTTATTAATTGTGTATAAATTTTTTTATTAATTAAATATATTAATTGCTACCAATATTGCAAAATATATATCATAATAAATATGTATTAACAAAATTATAGTTAAACAATCAAAAAAGTCTTTCTTTATACTGATTCTTGAACTTCTGGTTCTTTGAAATCTTTAGCACCTATTTTAGAACCAGTATCAGCACTATCACCATGTAATTCCATTAATTTTTGTACATCAAATTTAGGACTTTTAAGAATTTTTACTTTACGAATATAAGCCTATATTATAAAAAAAATTTTTTTGGGAGGTTTTTTTTATTTGTTAAAATATATAAAAATACATATTTCAAATAATAATAGTAATAATAAATGCTTACATGTTGAAGAGGATAAATTCCTTGGCAAGCTTTTGTAATTTCAAGACCAATTGATTCAGGTACAAATTTTTCTACTAAACCTTTCAAATCTGCACTAGTAGCCTGAGCAGTCATAATGTCAAACATTTTTTTACGAATTTGACGAATTTGTGAAGTTTGTGCATATGTGGTTTTACGAATTTGATTTGGTCGCCTTTTTGTGAAAGCAATTGCAAATAAACGAAGTAAATATCCATCTGTTGTCTTGACATCAACATGTGCTTCAATCAAAGTCTAAAATGATTTTTAATAGGTAAACAAAATAAATAAATAAATAATTAAATAAAAATTGAATTATTTGATTAGTAATGCCAAAAATAGATGTATATAAGCAGAAAATCTTTTTTTTATATATATATTTTACCTGCCATTTTCTGACCAAAGATCTAAGCTTATCAGATGTAAAATCCATTCCATGAAAATTTGTTAATAAATTTCTATCTTGTACTTCGTCCACTCTTAATTTGATTTTTCTATAAGCTTGTTCTTCGTCTTGATTTAAATCAGCTAATGAAATTTCAAACACACGACCTTTTAATGCATCATCAGCATTTTCTATTTTAAATGAATAAATAAATATTTATATAATTGTTATAATTATTATGGTTCAATTTATTGAAAAGCTAAGCTAAAAAATCATTATCGATGCATTACTTACTTAAACCTTGTGTACGGTTAACAAGTGTTTTACCAACATTTCTAACTAAAAACATTGATGGAGCTTTCACATCATACCAATCTTTACGAGTAAATGGATCAACACTATGATATTATAAATATTTAAAAAAATTGATTAGATTAAATTAGAAAAACTTTTTTTTTCCATCAATGCATTAATCATTAAGAAGTATTAATTAACATTAATTATTAAATATTGATTATTCAAAAACACACATTTTTTTCTTTAATCCTTTTTTTCCTTTGCTAAGACGTTTATTCTATTTTATTCAATAAAATAATAAATAGATGTTATTTAATCAATCAATTAAACCAAAAAAAAATAGATGAGTGAATTGAAGAAATGAATGAAATTTCCAATTTACCTTGCCAACAGCTATTATTATTATTATTGAGTAATATTTAGTAATTGACAGTTAAAAAAAATTTTTTTTCAATAATAATAGAAAAATTTTAATTGAATTCCTTTTTAATTAATTGAATAAATTGAATTTACTTACCCATTTTAATACACTACAGAATTATAAATAAAAAAAGCTTGTCAATTAAAAGAATATTATCAAAAAAAAATTTTTTCTAAAAAAAATCTCGATTTTTTAGGGGAATCACGTGGTAAATTAATAGTAAACAATGGCTCAAAAAAAAATTTTTAATGTTGATCATCATAAATAATATAATAATAATAATAACGTAAAATAATAACTCATCATTATCAACATTAACACTTAATACTTTTGCCAATCAAACTTAACACTTACTTAAATATTTAAACACTTTTACAAAAACTTAAACAAAAACATTTATGCTTAACAAAAACCAAAACCCAAACCTTTGCTTTCTATATTAAAGCAAATAACCAAAACCTCAGAATTCTATACCACTCTGAGGACAATTAAACCCTATTGTTTAATTTCCGACCAAAAAATGTTTTATTAAGCAAAAATTGAATGAATTATTTGTAAATAAATTTTATATTATAAGCAAGGCCTGAAATATTAATTAAATAGTTAATTAACCAGTTGATTGATTGATTGTTCTTTCACTTGGTCAAAAGGTAATAATTTTTATGTTCTAAAAATTAATTTCTTTTTTAAATTAATATATAAGAAATAAATAATAAAAATAAGTAATAAAAATATTAATAATAAAATGACACATGTCCAAAACATGATTGGACAACAATCTGTTTTATCACAATATTAATATGTAAATCATATTACAAATAGTAATCCCAAGAATAAGAA